AAAGACAACCACAATCACTGTGGTGCTGCAACTGCCACCCCGCTGCAAAGAAAAGCTGCTAAATTAGAGTAAAACCAAAATAGCTGCTTTGAAATCAGCTAAGTTACCACCCTGGTGAGACCTTGGCACTGCTGTTATTAACATCTGGGATCCCCCCCGAGCAAGTGAAGGGGAAGGAACCAGGTCAGAGCAATACAAGCAGACGTCACCTGAAGTGCTTTGTGCTGTACTGCTGAGGGAAACATTGTAGTTGGAGGCACGAATGGATGACCAGGCACTAGTTGAAGGCAGCGTGGTGTTCAAAGATGAGGATGACCCTGTAACAAAGGCAGAGTCAGTCACAGTACAGTGTGTCACAAACGCAGTAAGACTGAAAGGCTTGGCTTGTGCTCCAGCCTGAACATGCTGCACACTCAGGGGAGGGTCCTGCACTCCTCAGGCCCGTCCTCCATCCATGGGCACACGGTGGCAGCAGGAGCACCCCACATCCATGGGCACACGGTGGCAGCAGGAGCACCCCACGCTCACAGGGAGCACGGGTTCTACATTCCCACATGGCCGGGCTGCCAAGGTTTGACTGCTGCCTCCAAACACTCGGGGTGTGCACAGCTGACATCAGGGTGCAGAGCACAGCTCCTCTGCCCACATTCCTGGGATAGCTGCTGCACTGCATCAGCAAGCAAGCTGAGCCAAGGATGAGCTTGGCAGCTGTGACAGGCACAACACGAGAGATAAACCAGGAGGCGAGCAAGCAGCAAACACATCCCAAACCCACAACAGCAGGGACAGAGCGGGAGAGGAGCAAGCAGGAAACATCTCCAGGAGAGACAGGGAAGGTCACACAATGAATGGAGCAGAACATACCACTGTTCCTGTCCCTGAGGTGGTCAACTTCCCGCACAGTATTAATTGAGAGATTGTTTATGACACTGCCAGGAGTGACGTAAGGGTCAGTCTCGGGGTCGATGTTTGGATAACCTTTCCATGGCTCACCAGGGCGAAACTCTAGGAACACAGATGCACAAAAGAAGCTTATTTTGATTATTTTTTAAAACAGGAAACAGCTGTCTAAACAATACATCTCCTAATGACCAAAAATCCAAAACCTTTTACTTAATTTAGTCTTCACTTCATTCACTTAATTTCTAGTTCCTCTGCTCCCATCACCCCAGGCAGACACACTTTTCTCTGTGCAATAAAACTCCCGCTCTCTGTTTCCACCTCTGAAGAACACCCTTCTGGAGGCTGGCTCCTGCCCCCTCCCCATGGAACACCCAAGGAACCAAGGCCAAACCCAGGGGAGCATCAGGGGGGCTGTACCTGGGGGCCAGTTAACACTGCTAGAGCCATTAGGCGATTTGGCACGGGGCCAGCCGTCCCCAATGGAGCCGGGAGGACTGGCTGGAGAATTACTGCTGTTCATAAAGTCATAAGGAACAAACGGAGAATCTTCCAGCCTAAAACCACTTGAAATAGCACCTGAATAAAAAAAAACAAACACAAACGGTAGTCAAGTATTTTTTAAAGCGGGTTTTTATATCCCTATATAAATATATATAAAATCACGCCCTTGTAAATCATTAATGAAATATATGGCAGCTCACTGTCCTCTTATATGGGAAATCTAAAATGAAATGTGCCTGAATAACTCAGGAGAAAACTGTAAGAATAATGTTCCATGGAATCCCTTCACTGAAAGCACACGTGTTCAGTGTAACATCTATTGAACTGAAGGATTAATTCCAGAGGGTGAGAGCATTCTGTGGGACCCCCACTGGCTAGAGGGGGTAGTGAATGGATTCTGGGGCGGGAGGGCTCTAGGAAGAAATGGCTACAGCATGTGAAGGATCTTTAGCTACTGCCAAGTTCTGTTTATTCTACTCCTTTATTCTATTCTTGGGAGGGAAAATATATAATTTAAAAATCCCTGCAGACAGAGCAAGGAATGGTTTAAAAGTTATCAGACAGCAAAGCCAGTTCTGCTACAGTTCTGAGGGAGCCAGGGATTCCATGCAATATGGAAATTCCTAGTACTAGTCAGAAAACATCACCTACAGCTAAAGGAACACCACCACTGCCTGTGGTAACAGTCGGATGGGGTTCAGCTGCAGGGTATGGTCACTACAGGTTACAGCAGCAAAGTCACCTCAGAGCAGCAAAGCAGCTGACACATCTAAAAATACCCCAACAATCTGAGACTGAGCAGTAACAGGAGACTGGGGACATTTATAACTATCTTTAGACACAGAATCTTTGGGCTATAGACTCAAATTTTAACTGGATGAGATTTCAAGCAACTGAAACAGTTGAAATGTCATATGAATCTTGATTACTGCAATGAAACACAAAGCAACCAAGTCCACCTCCTCTAAAACTAAGGACAGCAATGGTACCAGTGTAGCCCTTCTAAGCTCTCCCCAATTTTAGAAGGCAAACATAAGACATTCATAACCAAAACCTGTCAGTAAAAATGTCAGCCATGCCCAGAATGTGGTAAATC